TTGTAAATATTAAAATTTACCATTAAACAATTATTAATATTTTTATAAAACTAAAAATACATTCTTATAAATATATATTTATTAAAATGTTATATTGTAAAATATTAATAAAAAAGTTTTAAAACAGTTATTTATTTTTGTTATTATATAATCGCTTATAAAAAAAAAAACTAATTCAGCATTTTAAATAGATTTATAAATATCAATTTAACAAATACCAATAAAAACTCCCTAGTTTACATGTTGTTAGATATTGTCCATTTCATTGGTCTGTCTTAGAAAATAAAAAGTGAACAGGAGGAGCAGAGACTGGGAATGCAGGCCGGGAGAAAGACAGACAGCTGGTGTGTGGGAGACAGCAAACTTAAAATGAGACATGTAAATGAGAGCGATGGAAAGATATGAAAATAGACTGCAACGGAGAGCGCCAGGAAACAAAGTGAGTGGGAGATGCGCACAGAATCTCATTATCTCCTGCCGTCTGCACTGAATCATTATTTGGGAGTGTTTTCAGCTCCATACGTGGCTGAGAAACTCTGTGTGTGTAAGTGTGTGTGTGTGAGAGAGAGAGAGAGAGAGAGAGAGAGAGAGAGAGAGAGAGAGAGAGAGAGAGTCAGCGGCACTCACACGCGGCGATCAGACTGCGCTCTTGTGAGAAGTGCTGCCGTCAACATGCGCATCAAATTCCAAAGTGGATGCAAATTTTAAGGATGCAAAAGGCGTAGAGGAAACTCACGGCCTGCCGTCTTCAACCTGAACCCCGATGGACTGGAACCTGGTGGTGGGAGTTTTTTCCTCTTTCAGAATCGGCTGCACACAATCCACCTGCCACAAGAGAAATAATTAATCGAAAAAGGATCCAATAATTCTATTATTACAAATAGCTATGATACAACTCAAAACTCCCTCCCTAGTTCACCCAGAGCATTTAATGTCACTAAAATACAAAAACCTCTCATTCAGAATTAGTCACGGTATGTCACATTCATGAGCTCATTAACATATGACCTCCCACATTTACATATTTTAACAAATTAGCCTGAATGACAGTATCAATGAACTGCACATATAAGATCAAGATGATTTGTACACATAACAAAACAACAGACAATATCAACTACTTTATAAAACATTATTTCATAAAAAAACTAAAATTGCATAAATATACTAGTAACATTTTCCTAAACATGACTTAATGATTTTCTATTAAATTATTTATTAATATAACATTATATTATAAATAATAATATATGATGCTATATATTAATATAATTCAAAATATATTTTTTAAATTGCACATTATATAATTTTACACGACCAATACAATTTTATTAGTCATTGTTTATATTTATTTTTTTTATTTTTGTAAATAAATAGTTTTGTAATTAAATAGTTAATAAAACAACAACAAAAACGTGTGTGTGTGTGTGTGTGTGTGTATATAAATTTTTTTAAACACCAAACAAATTACTACATACCCATTGCACTTTATTTTAGCATTCACTTTTTTCTGCTTTTATCATTATCAATCCAAAGACTGGCTAATGCTAAAATAAAATACAACAGACATTTAACAATTAGCTTGGTGATTTAATGATTAATGAAATTATTTGTGTTTATTAACCAATTAATGATTTAAATATTTATTTAATCAAGTAAATTGGCCATTTCTTTTAGTTTTACTGTAATCAAATTACAATAATAAATTGTGAAAACATATATTAAATTTACTATAAAAAACAAAGTCTTAAATGTACAGTAACAAAAAAAGCTTATTTCAAACAATGCGTTCACACTGATGATTTGCAACAACGCTGAGTTAAAACTCATGCAAATGAGCAGCGACTACCAATGGGAGTGAGGTCACATGACCTGATAGTGAATACGTCATCCAACAGCATAAAAATATCACGACGACATCATTAATATTCCCGTACACACCTGAATGCCAATGGACGAGAGTTTTCTCTTGGGCAGGGCTTGCGGTTCGCCAGATGCTACAGTCAGGCTCGCGGGCTCGTTTTTAGCGTACGGGGCGGGAGAGGGCGGAACGACGGCGGGAGGAGGCGTGGTCACTCTCGCGCTGGGCAGGGGCACGGGTTCCCGCGGGGCGGGGATGGGGGGCAGGATGGGCGGCCGCTTGGCCTTGACCAGACTTCCTGTCCGAGAGCTGGCGATGCTGTCGGAGGAGTTGCTGCGTCCTGATTGGCTGTTGACCTCGCTGCGCTGGTCCTGGCTGTCCAGGTACGTGTCCTGGGCCGATTCAGTGCTGCTCTGGACCGTCACCGAGATGTAGGGTTTGGAGGTGGTGCGAGGAGGAATAGGCGGAGGATTCTTCTTACAGACCGCCGTACACGTGGAGACTGAAAAACACAGGAAGATGGACTGTAAGAAGGCTCCCACAACTCCAATACAAAGTCTCTTCACACGTCTTTTCCCAGCAGCCCCTGCTTGGGAGCCACAGGAAGAGATGAGACAAAGCCAGGCATTTACATGCTCAAATCTGCACAGCATTCCTCTCATGCCGACTGATGGCAGACTGCATCAGGAATGTGTCGCCCATAAAACATGGGCTGAAATCTGCTGACGAGACTCTGGGTTTGGTACGATGTGTCATGAAGCCCGATGATAATGCTCACTGGTGTATTATTAGCCTGCTGAACAGTGTAGGAGAACCTGCTTTGAAAGCGTACAAGCTAGTAGGCGGTAAGACCAAAATCTATTCCACCATATGAGTCATTTTATATCACCATACAGTTATTTCTGCTGGAAATTATATACGTGTTATAATATGAAATTATGTAGACATAGCCAAAGTTTGATAATCTAGTGGTTTAAAATGCTTAAAAAAAAATCTGAATCAGATTATTAGTAAAAATGTATTGGTAAGTCTGACATGAGTGCACACAAAAAAAACAAAAACAAAAAAAACATGACAAATATGGTTGGATGAACCATATCTGACGCCACTGTAAAAATAGATAATATACATAACTTCACTTTACTGAAGCATAAAAAGAAACTCTGCAAAATACTTTCGATTATTTTAAAGGGGTCATATGATGCTTTTTTAAAGATCATTATT